GATTACTATTGTCAACATGTTCTATGATTTGAAAATATCATAAGCATAATGAAAACCACAGGAAAGTATGACTCATTTTCCCTTGCTAAAACTGTTCATTCAGTAGTGAATGAACAAAACAAAAACAAAAACAATTATTTCTTTCCTCCACTACGTCTATGAACCGTTGTCCAGCCGTCTTCATCGGTATCCATTGACTGCGACTTTGATTCGGTAGTTGCTGGCTCTTCTCTCATGTCGAAATCGTTATCATCATCGTCTTCGCCTTCCGATGACGAACTATCTTCAGTTTGATTTCGAACGGACATTCGCGCTGCTGGTGCTGTAGTTGCCTGCTGTAGTTGCAGTTCTTGCTGAACATCAGCTAATTTGCCTTGTTGAATTAGTTGGATATAGCGAATGAACAATTGTGCTAATTCAGCACTCGATCCATCATCTAAAACGGTATTGAATTCTTCATCTAGAACTTCATCGAGGTACTCTTGTAGATCCTGCTCCATGGAAGACACAGATAATGTTGGTCGAACATTTCGTACGAGATGTTGACCAAACGCGTCGATGAATGCTTCATATTTGGCTTGACTGTTCGGACCGCCCATTGAATGATCGACGGCTAGTTGCAATGCTGTCCATCGAGAGAATACCGAACCGATAATTGGTAGTAATGTTGAATGTAATGACATTGTCTTCAATTTTATGATTTCGTGTAATAAAAGATGTCAAAAAAAAGAGAACTTATCCTTGACATTCACCATGTTTAAGCCAGTATTCTTCTACCTCTCAACAAGTAGCGCTACAAGACGTGTATTTTATGATAGACGTCTCATTTGATTGGCGAACGAAAAGAACCATCGATTGAATCAGTTTATCAAGAACGTAGCAGCTGATGCTAGTGTTTTCTTTTTTCTTCTCTTAGATTTACTCTTTTAGTTACTGATTACCGAACAATGTTCGATTGTGGTAATTGTTGTCAAAATCTCGAATTAGGCGAACGATTCAATCGAAATACAATCGCTTCGATTGTAGCGGGTGTTATCGTAAGAAATTTCGTCATATTCGTGTTTTCTTATTGTGATTTTCCTATTTACACCTATTAGTTTGCCATTGGTTGGTGGATTATCATTGATAGCACTTGCCAACATCCTACCCAAGCTGAATTCAATAAGGTCTATTATATAATTGGTGCAGTCGGTACAATAGCACTGATTTTGTAAGTAAAACGAAATGAGTAAGATTCAGTCATGATGATGCGTCTTTTCTTATCTCGAACAGAGTCAATTCAGTATCGAACGCACAAGTTCGTGGCGATGCATACGGTGACAGTTGTGTTGGACAAGTTGGTAGGTTGTTCTTCCGCAAGTTCGAACTAGAATAAAAGTTTATTCCTAGGAGCAAGAATAATTCTTTTCATTGCTTTTCTTCTCGCATTTGGCTCGTTAATTGGTGGTGCTTGGGTTTTATTTGGCTATTATATTCCATACAAAAGCAGCGACAAAATCTACCCAGGCATTGCTATTTTCTGTCAGAATCTTGCTATATTCATCAGGTCTGTTTTCCTCATTCAAACGTTGTTTTCTATCTCATTTCCGTTCGATTCTTTTGCAGTACGGTGATTCTGAAATTTGGTCGCAAAGAGGATCTCGGCTATTAGTTCAACAACAAAACAAAATCAAAACATCATGAACATTCATTGTAATTAGTCGTCATGTTTTTTTTTATAGAATTTATTGAACGCTGCGCTTTTTTCCAAACAAACCTATATATATATCTATTTATAAATAAATATCTATTTCTGTTGTGCAAACGTTGTTTATTGTTCTTTCTCTTCGGGTCTCATCTACGTGTTTATCTTCGTACTTATGCACATACCTCTTTTTTTGTCCATCTATATTGTTCATGAAAATGAAACAACTGTCGTTTTCTCTCTAAATACTGATTGATTAATAAAAACAACACGAACGAACTCGCTAATAAACATTGATTAACGACGTGATTAGAAGATTGATTCAATAATTGATTTTGTCCAAGAGAAAGACACTTTATTCTTACGTGTCGCTGAACTTTATTTTAATGTCATTGGGGAAATCAGAACCTACACGCAGAACTCGCATGGATACATCCCAATATACAAGAAAACATCTCACTTCTTTATTTGAGGCGGAGAAATTTCGTCTACTCTCATCGCGAATAGACATCATAGAATTGAAAATTAAACATATACATCAGTAATTTTCGAACAGTTGTTATATAGAATAGCACATTCACTAATTTATCACAAGGGAATCCCAATGCTTTGTATCTATTTCCTTCTATTCTTTGTATATTCCTCTTCTTATTGTTCTTTATTGCTGATGCGAGGCTAGTATTGATATAGACACCCATGTGAGAGAGTCGAAGCTAAAATCGATTATTTGACGTATATACATAGACGTTTTTCCTATCGCCCATTCAGTCCACTTATGTTCTTTCTCTTCCACTCGTCTTAAACAAAATGAATCTCTTCAGTTGTAACCCAATGCATTCTACCCCCGTCACTCAATTAATGTG